TATTACAATAAAAATCTGAATATATAGAATGAAACCTGATAATATAGAATGAATGAACTTCATGTTTGGGGGTTAGGTTTTTCTGAATTCTCTGCCTCTACAAAATGGCATCAGCTGAACTATTTCAGTACTTGGTAGAGTTTGACAACTGTTCAAACTGCATATGGTACAAATAATTTGGAGTCTTTATTGTGTCACCTTGAACATCATATTTTTATTTAGCAACATTTCTAATGCTAATTAATAATGTTCAACTAAATGTTTCTGGGAGAAGATTATGCACAATTCTTGAGGGAATTTATCAATCACTGATGGAGATGTCAACTGAGGTAACACTTCAAGCAGAAGCTGAAGCACATGATATGGGGTCATTACACCATTTTACATCTCAAAGAGGAAGGCCAAGGAAGGAAGGAAGGAGGCCAGGGATTGGTCAGTACCGCGGTCCAGGATGACACAACAGAGATCCATCCTGGGCATTTTGACTAGAGACCAGCCCATCAGGTATTATAGGAAAAGCCATAATGCCTTTGAATGAAAACAAACACTGTTGTGACAGTGACGTTCACTGTCTTGTTGGCACATATGTATGATTTCTATACATTTTACACCAGATGACCACTTTGGTTGTAAGATTCGGATAATTATTTATTAAAAGCTAGACATTTTAAACGAGAATAAGAAGGAAAAGCATTTCTTTGTGCTCCCATTCCCTGGAAATGCCCTACCTGCACCCCTGGAATAACTTTGGTAGACCCGCCCTTGCGCAGTTACCAGCTGTCAGTTATGTAGAAAAGAATCCTGGTGTTATTTGTCTCTCAGAAACAGTTCATAACTTGCCTTTGGCCAGTCCACCACCTTTCATTGTTTTTACTGTTACAAAAAAAACCCCCAAAAAACCCATCAGCCCATAAAAACAAAAAATCACCATCGGTCCACCGGGCAAAAGTCCAGCTGTGTCCATGAATACATCAGGAAGTTGGCCCAACTGACTGCGTGCTCATCGAATACCTCAGACAGTAGAAACCCCCCCAAAAAGAGGAGGAAGACGAGGAATCATCATGGAAGGATCGGCCCCTGCACGGTAACCTAACCTGTAATATTTCAAACTGTTACTGTTTGATTACTTACTACTATACTGTACCCTCAATTATACAATAAATTAGTACACACCATAGCCAATTAGAAGAAGTCTTCCAAACAGGAAAGGAGCCAAATAGTCAGTAGTCCTCATTGAACCCTCTCAGATTGAAGAGCCATTCATGTTCAGAAGGCGGTGTAAATCTTCACTTTGCATTTAACTCAGGTTTCCTTTCAAACCTGCTTCCCTTCTTCCAAGAGACTAATCTGTGTCTTTTTTTCTTCATTGAGTTAGTTTCTTTGTATAGCTGCTAACATACAGTCCTTCCCCATAAAAAGAACAGTTGCTGCTGCACTGCTTTTAATACAATGTGACAGCACAATCTGCTAAATTAGATTTTATGAACTGATTATACATTGAACTATGTAGTGTTGACTGAGCTATTAGAGATTCATTTCTCAAAATCTTTAACGGTTTGGTGACATAGCCACAATGTCTACATTTTATTCTACTGAAGTTCTTTAAGACTGCAATAATATGTAATGTAATAAGCTATGCAATGATCTAAAACAGCAATAGGCTGAATAAACTTGATAAGCTATATCTAGAACAAGATGAATAATGTTATTGTTTACTTGGCTCATAATATATATTCTGCAGTTTTTATTATTTCTTCTTGCCAGTCTGTGCCAACAAAGAGTAACTTTGAAGCCAAGTACAGCTGTCAGCAGGAGATTTTAAAAAATGTCTATGAAACTGGAACTTTTCAACAACTTAATTGCCCAGAGGTATACACTTTCTGTCTAAACGTACAAGGTTATTGGATGGTGAATCACAAGCAGAAGACTGATCTGAAGCAGGTTTCTCACAAATGATCATTACCTTTGGTCAACCCTGAAGGCTGTTAATATCTTTTCTGCCCATGTGAAGGACACTTTGGTTTTCAAAAACAATTTGCTTTTCATTGAAAAAGATGCAGTGACAATATCAAGGACATAATTAATGCAAGGTTAAAAGTGGCATGCTGAATCTTCAATCCTTTTCACCTTTATTGTTCCATTGGATTAAAAAAAAGCTATTCTACTATGAACCAGAGAAAGTACTACTCGAAGCACAATGTGTTTTTTTTTCTGTCCTTGGTTTGTCCTCGAGGGATATATTGCAGAACTGGGCTGTCAGTATGACAAAATAGCTGTATGACATGCCCATATCTACTAATTTCTGCATGTTCACAGGAATGTACAGCATTTACACTACAGATACTGTGGCAATCCGTTCGTCAGTCTCTGACTTTCTTTTTATTCGGCAAGTAAAAAAACTACCATATTCATGAAAGACACACTACAGGACTATCTTACCAGCCTTAAAATACAAAATAAAAATTAAATAAAATGCAGCAACAGAAATACTTTTTGTTTTCTAAATAAAAGTTAAAATTCCATATTTATCAATTCATTTGCTAATATAAAGCCACATGTCTCAATAACAGCATTTCATGTTTTCTCCTTTTAAAAATACAACAGTTTAGTTGTTTGTAAATTCCTTACAAACCACAAACCTCTTAGCAGGCTACTGTTGAATAAATGAATATTAACATACATGATTTTATGTATAAA